CGCCGGGCCAGGGCGGTCCCCACGGAGGGTCAGGTCGAAAGCGCAGCGTCGTGGGGAGGGGCCGGAGCACATTCTAAAAAGGAGTGTGTGGACAAAGGCTCGCAGGGGGATCGAAAAGTGGGTCTTGAAGTTGGCTAGAGGGGGTCAGGAGAGATGGGAGGCTATGAGGTTTGGCCTTGATCTAGTGGTGGATTATGACGAAAGCATCCTTTCAGAAGCACGAAAGATGGGTTAGTAAAACAGGAATAAGGACTCCAGGTAAGTGATGTGCTGCGACACTGAATGAGCAGAGGTGGTGGGAACAAAAAGGGAAAGTGCGATGCTCAGCACGAAGGAAAGGATGGAGACTTTTTTTTTTTTTTCCTCCGGTACGTGGGCCTCTCACTGCTGTGGCCTCTCCCGCTGCGGAGCACAGGCTCCGGACGCGCAGGCCAGCGGCCATGGCTCACGGGCCCAGCCGCTCCGCGGCATGTGGGATCCTCCCAGACCGGGGCACGATCCCGTGTCCCCTGCATCGGCAGGCAGACTCTCAACCACTGCGCCACCAGGGAAGCCCTGGATGGAGACTGTGAAAATGGGACAGTGAGGACCAGGAAGAGGGCAGGGTGTAGGAAGAGACGAGATTTGAGGTCGGCAGCCGTGTTGGGTAGCTGGCAGAAAGACAGGGCCAGTGACCCAAGAGAGAGGACGTCAGGAAGGAATCGGCTTTAAGGAAAACGTCTAGGACTTCAATTTGGAAGTGACTTGGGGAGAAATATCGTACAGACGTGGATATGGAGCTGAGGGTGGAGGTCAGCGTTCAATGTCCAGACTTTGGAAAAGATTTGGTGGATAAAGATGTCGTGAGAATGGCCCGGCACACAGAATACTACTGGAAGCAGCGGGCGGTCACCCAGGTGCAGAGAGGGACACACAGGCTGGGGCAGGAACAGACAGACAGCATCAAGACAAGGTTCCAGGCAGAAGATGATGCGTGAGGACCGCGGGAAGCAGGCAGGCTGGGGCAGTGCAGCGGATGTCAAAGACATTCTGGGCAACCTTTCTGAAAATCAGAACCTGAGCAATGAAAAAGCAATATTCAGAGTCAGAAGGGCCCCTAGGGGTCACCCAGCCCAAGTGCCTCATTTAAAGTTGAAGATGTGCAGGCCCAGAAAGTCACCTCGGTTTTCCAGAGAGGAAAGGCCCTCGTCAGAGGCAGCAGAGCTGGAGAGGCAGCGAGGCCAGGACTGAGAGCAGCTGTCTTCTCTGTTATGATTACGTTCATTAATCTGGTTATTTACGCCTTTCCATGTATTTTATATACAAATGACGGGGACTGCTGAGACCAGGTAGTCATCTTTTATTATAATCAGCAGTGCAGTCAGAATGTAAGTATTCAACAGAATAAGCAAGGAAATCCACAATTACATAAACACAAAGCAGAGAGCCCAGTGCTCTGATTCCCTAAAGCCCTGAGTTCCCTTTGCAACCCTCCCTGTCCTGTCAGGTGGAAGGGCTGGATGCCTGCTAGGAGCAGCTCTAACAGGGACAGAGATGGTGACTCAGAGAATGGAGCACAGACAAAATGGGGAGCGGGGGCCCTGAATGCTTAGAGGACAGGATGGTCGGTCACCATGGTACCCCGGCCACCTGGAGAATCAAGATGGGTGCAGATCTAAGATCCGGTAAGGCCACGGTGATCGCTTACCGTCCCGCCCAGCTGGCCTGGGTGTGGGCAAGTCCCCACTCTTTGGGCAGCAGAGACCTGGGCCTCCAGAGTGCATAGCGGTTTGCTGTCAGCTGGCAGAGGGAAACACATGGGAATGTTTTCCAAAGGATAATGAACACACTGTTTAAATAGAGTCCACTGAGATACAACTTCCTGGAGCTATCTTAGGGTTGCTTTATGTGGAAGACAGATCACTTCCAGCTGCCTCTGCCACCTGTCCCCAGACCTCTTACTAGCATAAGAGCAATGTTCTAACAGGCCTGTCCGTCCTGGCACAGGACACGGGCCCACCCACGTGTTTGCCGGGCGTCGGCTCACTCACTCATGCGTACTCTGCAAGATCTTCTTGGGCAACGTAAAGCTCACTGGAAAAAATCCCGCCTACGTCTATCATCCTGACGCTGCTTTGAGTGGGCATCTCTGGGAGGCCAGGGGCACCAAAGAGGGTAAAGGCAAGTAGGTGTCACCCAGAGGAGAAGGTCGTGAATCTGACCTGGCAGGCAAGGGTGGGGCTCTGCCCTTATCTGAAGTCAACCTGGCAGGGACCAGCAGGGCAGCTCCACAAAGGGGATGTGCGGCCAGCCCTTGGGACAAACTGGAACAAAACAGGTTCAGGAAATGTTCCAGAATACAAAAGAGTTACGTTAGATGAACTCGCAGAAAAACTTTTGGACTTGGTCTCTGTGACGACATCCGTGCAAAATAAATAAACTTCATGAATCTCGTACACGAATCATAAAAGGGAGTGAAAGTACAATACAGGCTTATCAGCAACCTCCACCGAAGCCTGCAAATCAGGGGGCCTAATGGCATCCCAGAGGCAGCCACTTCCGGGGAGGGACGTCTCAGAAGACAGCCACCTGCCTGGCTCACTGGATCCCAGCCTCGGGTCACAACCCAAATGAGGGCGACGGAGGTTTTCTAAAAGGGGTGCTATGAACCCAAACCCAGGGGTGAAGGACAGGAGGAAGGGACGAGCACGGGCTCACTGCACGTTAACGCGGTGAGCAGAGCGTGTGCTGGGATTACGTGTCCCACCTCCCTCACTCCACCCTCCTAACGGTTCCCACGTGGTGAGTTATGTTCCCACCTCACAGCAAATAAAGCTGCTGCCCTTAAGAATTAAGTAACGTGCCCTAGGTCACACTGCCAACAGGTGGAAGCGCTGGTATTTGACCTGGGAGTGTTAGTTTAATTATATGTGGACAGTGGTTCTTTTAAATAAAAAAATAGGTCCTTATTCTAATTTCCTTTGGGATTTATTTCATTCGTTCGACAAGTATTTACAAAGAAGCTGCTACATGAGGTACTACTGCTGCTCCAGATGCCAGGGGCACAGCAGTGGCCAAGTCTCGGCCTTCACAGACCTACGTCTAGTTGACTAGTACTTACTTCAAAGCCGCATTATTTCCAAGCTGGGGCCACAGAGAGCAAAGACAGGGAATCAGCCACCTAAAGACCTGTGACACTCATCCACCGACAGGAGAGCGGAGCCACATAAGCACGGGGAGTGAACCAGTCTCCTGTCTTCATGACTGTGATTTACATGCAACTTATACACAGATACCTTGAATGCATCACAGGAAAGCTACCGCAGGAGGCCAAGGTAGCTGGATGTGACACGTGCCCACACCAAGGGACACGTGACCAGCAGAGGCTCCCTGAATATCACTACAGTCACTTGAGGCAGTAGAAGGCTGCATGAGCAAGTAGACACTTTCGTGTGCTTGAGCCAATAATTTAAAGACTTTCTTAATAACGATCTACTGAATGCACAAATAATCTAATGAGGGGAAGCACGATATTTGAGGGAATAACATACAAAAAAATGACTTGAAGCAGCTCTAACCAGAGAGAAACAAAATCAAAGTTGCCCACGAACAGCAAAAGAATATTCCCCAACCTTCTAACCTGCCTTCAACCCAACAGAGAATAAACTGATGATGTGGCCACTGGGGCAAAAAACAGGTACATGTGTAAGCACAGCATGGATGGGCCAGGGTGGGGCAAGGTGTCGAGGGAACAGGTGGGATCTTGGCCTAAGGACTGGACACCCTAGGGAGTCAGAGAGGGCACCTCCCACACACCCACACGAGGGAAGCAGTCTGGCCGGTGACGGACACCCACGCTGGTCACGTAAAACCGGTGCGATGTTTTCACGCTGCACACCTGAAACTTACATGTGTTACCTGTCAGTTATACCTCAATAGAGCTGGGAAAAAAAACCCCAAACTGGCGCCAGGTCAACTTGCCCTCACTGTGAACCCCATCCACAGGACAGGGACACTGGCTACAGGGGGAGAGGGAATTTTCTCTGTCTGACCGCTCGGATCCTAACCTTAAGCATGTCATCCCTCGGTTCCGCTCACTTCCTTCTTGCACAGAGTGAGAGGGAGGCAGACCCGCAGCCGCGGGGACCAGAGGCCCCCTGCCCTCCCAGGCCAAGCGTCAGCCAACACAGCTTTACAGACGTGGTGAGACGGTAACAACTGGTGAACCTGGGTGACGGGTGTGGGGGTTTCACTACTCTTCCGACTTTCCTATATGTTTGATATTTTCCTAAAAAGAAAGTTTGAATGCACAGAAGGAAAAAAGAAAAATACAGCTTCGAAGAGGTTGTGGTGGCAGAGGGGTGACAATGACGTCATTCCCCAAATCTGGGGGCAAAGGCTCAGTTGTGAACTCTGGGTACCTCTAAACTTTAGATCCTTGCACCACCAACCTCGGAGACTTACCCCTAAATAATAGCAGGCGCCAGGGAGGAGGAGACTGGATCTGACCCCTGCAGGCTGAGGTCAGGCTCCCGCTCCCCAGGCCAGCCAGGCTGCAAGCCAGGCCTTCTCTGAGGGCCATGGACACCCTCCTCAGAGGACCCAAGGGCACCAAAGGGATAAACAAGGTCCGTTTATCCTAAGCCTGCGGCCAGCAAAAGAACCGTCAGTGTGGAAGTGGAAAAATTCACTGCCAAGAGATGAAATTCATTCAAAGGACAGACAACCTACTCCATCACTGGCTGTTCTGGGAAAGTAGGGAATGGAGCTTTTAATGGGAAAGGAAATCTCTTACCCTATATACACCATCGTTCACTTCATGACTTAGTCCGGAAGGAAGGGAAATCTATTTGCGTTCAGCGCCGGCCCGACTGGGCCCTGCTGACATCCCCACCGTCCCCAGTCCTCCACCACCGTCTGTCCCCACCTCTGTAGAGACCGGAGGACCAGTCATCTCCCCTCCTCGCCCCCAGAGGCCTCTCCCCGGAGGGCACGGCCTGACTTCCAGGGCTGGGATTTACCGATGTCGCTCAGCAAGGTGAGGATGGCTCCTTCCCGCAGGCCACAGCAGTTCTCAAACTGGTTCAGGTACTGTCAAGAAGGGGAAAGAGGTGTCAGGGGGAGCGGTCACCAGCCACCAATGCACCCACAAGTGTCCTTCACCAGCCGAGGCCGTCTGAGCATTCCCCGGGCCCTGGGCCTTGGGGACCTGGGTGGACAGCCAGCCCGGGCGGGATGGGCAGGGTCGGTCCAGGCGGGGAAGGAGGAAGCATCTGAGAGCTAGAAGCACTCACGTGTGTAACCCTAACCCTAACCCTGAGTCATTCTCAGAGTCTCACCTGTGCCGTGGTCCTGGGGGACACAGGCACAGTTGGTCCTCTGATCCCGAGAGCCCGAAGGAGCCACTGAACACCTCCCTCTGACCCCTTCCCCGACGCGGCCTTGCTGTGGAGTGGGGATGACAGCAGGGCCCGGGCAGTGAGCACTTTGTACGTGCCGGGCACCTGGCAGAGCCACGTGGACGGGGTCAGTGCAGCCTCACCTGCCCCGTCTCACTTCACCCTCTCTCCCGCTCCCCTGCCCAGGCCAGCACTGGCAGCATTTCCACTTCACAGGTGAGGGTGCTGGACAGGAGGGGTCCAGCCATCCGTCTGCCACCACGTCCGCTGCGCAGCAGAGCTGCCATAGGACGCAGGTCCACCTGAGGCTCGTGCCCAAACGCTCAGCCCCTGTGCCCTACTGGCCCTGGCAAGCCTGTAGAGGGGCTCCATCTGCTGCTGGAAGCCGGCCTCAACTTCAGGAAGTAACTTCCAGACGGGGTGCCCCGTCGTTAATTCACACCCACACCCGCGCACATCCGCCAGCCGCTCCCTGCGTCAGGCATACACACGGCACTCCTTCAATCAGCTCTGGCTTTTACCCTCACTCCCGTGCTGGCCAAGCTTGTCTCCCCAGACCAGGTGCAGATTAACTTTCTAGAGATGGGAAAGACGAGCCACCTCATTTGGAGAACAAAGAGGACAGACCGCGGGTGCCCCAGGTGCCCTGGTGACCGCGTGGACCAAGGCCCTGTGGGGTACAATTGCTTCCCGCATCCCCTGCACCATCCTGTACCCTGTGCCAGGTCAATCACGCCCAAGTCTGTGTCAGTCTTCCCTGGCCAACTGGCTCCCTGCTGCCTACAAGATGACGTCCAAAGTCCTCTGCCTCTGTAAGCTGGTCACCTCCCACCCCTCCCACGCTGCCCTCTAAGGACTGTCCACTCAACTACAATGACACGGCTTTATCTTCCTAAATAGCTGCAGCTAAGAATCAGACAGCTGTCAAAGGTTAGGAAGATAAAGAGGAAAATGGAAGCGTTGTCAAGTTCCCTATTTGTCATCGGTTATCAGTCCCCGGCCTGTGGGTTGCCAATGACTGTGCTCACATCCTGCCCTGAACCCCAGGATGAGCCCACCTCCCAGGATGGGAGAGCCACCCGGGCACACCAGCCCTCATGGAAAGTCTCCTTTGGAAAGGGAAGGTGGGAGGGGCCGGAAGAGTGCTGGGAAAGCACGTGATGCCGGGTCCCGGAAAGTGCTGAGTACAGATGGAAGAACTGCCTGGCCATCCTGACCGCGCCCCCGAACGATGCAGACCTTTGTCCAGAGTGCGAGGTGAGGGGGGTGGAGACGAACAGGCAACCTCTTTGCAATACAAAACCAGCTTCTGCCCAGAGCTCTCATGGTCCTCGTGCGCCGGGAGCTATTCCCTTCACAGACGGAGGGGGGCCTGCGGCTGGGACCCACCGGCCGTGACCCAGCCTCTGCCGCTGCAGCTGTGTGAGGCCCGGACACCCAAGTGGGCCCTCGGGGCCGCGGGGCCCACCCTTCACACAGGATCCGATGCATTTTACCCATGTCACGGGCTGCTCAGAATCACACGAGGCCACGTGTAAGAGGGGGTCGTGACACTGTTCCAGAGATCGCTGGGGAGGGGGACACACAGCGGTCTCCGACACCCACCCCGCAGCATGCATTCTGGCAAAGGGACATGGTGGACGTGTCAGGAAGAAAGGGAGAGGGACCCGAAGCTGAGTCAGTGGGGCTCAGGGTCCCCAGCCCAGCTGGCCCGAGCCAGTCCCTCCCTGCCCCGCTCCAGGACCCCGGGCGGCCACATCTGGGAGAAGCCCTCCAATCCGGGCCAGTGGCCACGACGACACCGAAGGGCTCAAGTGGCCCCAGCGTGCCGAGGGAGGAAGACCCGTCCTGGAGTCTGACCGGCCTCTCTCTGCGCTTGGACCTGGTGGGTCTTCCGCGTCACGTCAGGGACAGCTGCGCAGGGTGCACGGCAAGCCCCTCCCTGCCCTCCGTACACCCACAACCCCGCGACCCCGCCCCAAGGCTCCCGAGCGCCCTGCCCGGCCCCCGCAGCCTCACCTTCCGCAGGTCCCCTCCCTGGCAGTACTCCATGGCCAGCAGGGGCAGGTCGTTGGGAGCCAGGCTCTGCATGCCCTCGGGGACGTCCCGGGCGGCCACCACGTTGGGGTGGTTCAGCCTAGGAGGAGGGAACCAGTGAGGGAGGGCGGCCTGCAGGCGCCGAGGGCCCTGGAGAGCGAGCGGCGGGAAGACGCGGGGCTCACCACTCGCCCAGGGCCGGGGCAGCGCTACTGTCGGCACCGTAGCCCCAGCTCTGGGCGCCCCGTGCAGAGCTCTGCTCTCTTCAGAGTGCCCTTGGCAAGCCCTCCCTGTATCTCCGCACTGCTCTGAGGCAGAGAAAGCAGGGGGACTTTGGATCGCACACCACTGGGCAGGGATGGTGTGCATGTGTGGTATGGTGTGGTGTGTGTAGTGTGTGTGTGTGTGTGTGTGTGTGTGTGTGTGTGTGTGTGGTGTGGTGTGTGTGTGGTGTGGTGTGGTGTGTGTGTGGTACGTGTGGTGTGTGTATGGTGTGGTGTGTGTGTGGTGTGTGGGTGTGGTGTTCGTGGTGTGTGTGTGGTGTTTGTGGTGTGGTGTG